GTATATCGCTGCTACGCCTCCGATCAGAATGTCCATACAGCATTCATCGTTCACAAAAATCAGAGGAAGGTAGTTTGGTGTGAGTTGTCCGATATTTAACAGTTCTTCTCTGGTAAAAGTAATCCGGGGTGAGTTGCACAAAACCAAGAAAACAAAGAAAAGCAACAAACACAAGAGAGCGCGAGTAACCACGGCCGCCATCGCTGTCGGCTCCGGAAGAAGAAATGTAACATGCTTGGTCAAAGGTGATTATCCTTATTATTTTTAAGAAGGCTGACTATGAAAACTATGACTTTTTTCAGAGCCAGAGACACTTTTAGAATAGCTTGACAAATGGCGCTCTTTCCTAAATGTTCCATGTTACCGACCATAGTAAAAAACTGCAGCAGGTCAATGCACACTGAATGTGTGGTGGTCAGAGCACGGCTTCTCTTATGGCTCTTAATATGCGGCGCTAACAATTGTTAGGTATTTTTAGTCAGATAGAAATTGGATAGATACTTTATGTATTAGAAATGTTTAGTGGAGATAGGATGTCTAGTTAGACTGTTAAATGCTTAGTCATGCTTATGAGTTTCTACAGGGTACATCTGGTCAAGGATAACTAGAGAGAAGAGTTGATGACTGTCAGCAGACAGGGTGTTTAATATTATTATTATGACGTGTATAACTGTAGCCTTAGCCATAATATGTTCTTATGTTTAAGTCACGACATGTTACTAGAGGTCGTGTGAGAATGTTTTTAGCTACACACCACTTACACACACATTGATTTTCTTCATGTTTTGACTACTGCTATGACCAGCTGCAAAGCAGGCACCAGAGACACGTCACGGTTGACGTTCCTGTGTAGTATGGGGCTAGCCCAACCGAAGAGATAAATGTATAGGCCAGTTGTGGGTCAGGGTCTTTTTCATCCTTCAGCTGCCTGCGTGCATGTTGGAGGTGGAAGATACCTGAGCGTGTAATGTTAATTTTTACCTGTGTTCATTGAATAAATCAGCACTGTTTTGAAGTTACTTGGACTGTCTCGTCTCTCAGAGTTAGCGTGGTAAAAAGAACCGGAAGACTTCACAATCCACTTTAATAAACTATTCCATCCCAACTGAAACGGTACCATCAAATTAAGAACTGGTCAGGCCAGGCTTCAGAATCCTGTTGATCTCTCAGTACTGTCTGTTTTCTTTAAACTGATGCCTTATTATAATCATTCAGGTGTCAGTGGGTCACGTCCTGCTCCAAGCCCCTTTAAATCTGAGAGGTTATTTTATTTACACAGATGTTGCCATGACAACAAGTCCTAGGAGACTTCCAAAGAAACAACAGATTCGGGATTAAGTGAAACATAAATTATCTGGCTAATTTGTTAATCCATATATGAAAAACAGGCCCCTGGACTCCTGCAGGACTTCACTGGAGAGAAAACAAGTTCATGTTTGACCTTTGATTTAAAATGTTTTAATGACGTTTTATTTGTTTGTTGTATACATGTTAAGGCATGCAGCATTAGCTGCGCAGACTATCAGAAGGTTTTGAATATGATAAATAAAAAAAATTTTTTACAACCACAAATCAGAAAAAGTTGGGATGCGTGTATTTTGCCGTTCCTCTTCACGACACAACAAGACGTTTAGGGACTGAGGACACCAGGTGTCATTTTGTCCCGTTCTTCCTGTAAACAAGTCTTAAGGTGTCCAACAGTCCTGGGTCTTTGTTGACATAATTTACATTTCAAACTGCGCCACACTTTCTCTACTGGGGACGGGTCGGGACTGCAGGCAGGCTGGTCCAGCACCCGGCCCATTTTCCTCCACAGCCAGGCCTTGGTAATGTGGCAGTGTGAGGTTTACATTGTCTTGTTGAAATAATAATGTGGGTCCCTGGAAAAGACATTGTCTTGAAGGCAGCAGATGTTGCCCCAACATCTCTCTGTGTTTCTTAGCATTAGTGGAGCCATCACAGAAGGGGAAGTGACCTTTGTCCAGGGCACCGACACGACCCCAGACCATGACAGACCCTGGGGCTTTTGGACTTGTTGCTGCTAACAGTCTGGATGGTCCTTTTGGTCTTTGGTCCGGAGCACACAGCGTCCATTCCTTCAAAAAAGACCTGAAACACTGATTGGTCTGACCACAGTGCACATTTCCACTGTGTGATGGTCCGTCCCAGATGCCTCTGAGCCCAGAGCAGGCGACTTCTGGACACTGTTGACACAGAGCTTCCTTTTGGCACAATATAGTTTTAAGCAACATTTCTGGACATAACTACGTATTGTAGTGGCTGACACAGGTGAGCCAGCGTCATCCTGAGCCCATATGGTTATATCGCTGATAGAAGAGTGATGATTCTTGATGCGGTGCCGTCTGAGGGGTCGGAGAGCTCGGTCATCCAGCTCAGGCTCAGCCCTCGACCTTTACACACTGAAATCCCTCCAGACTCCTTGAATCTTTAATGTTCTGCACCGTAGAAGGTGACAGATCCAAATCCCTTCTATCTTTCTCTGAGGAATGTCGTTTTAAACATTTCAATAATTCTCTCACACATATGTTGGCGAACTGTCAGCCCATCTTTGCTCCTAAAGGGCTCAGCTTTTCCTGGACGCCACTTTTGTACCAGGTCCCGAGGCAGTCACCTGCTGACATCACCTGGTTCAAATGGAGTCATCATTTCACTGTTTTACCTTATTACTGGCCCTGAAATGCAACCTGCCCAACTTTTTCTGGAATGTGTTGTAGCATCAGGACTGACATGTGTTTATTTTGAACAAAGAATAAAATTGATGGCATCACATCAAATAATGTGCTGCTGTGTTGTTTTCAATGTGATACAGGATACACATGATTTACACATCACCGTTTTCAGTTTTAATTTTGAGTTTACAAACGGTCCCAATTTTTTCTGATTTTGGTTGTACAATGAAACAACTGCCTCAGACCTTGGACATGCTCACTGCTGCTGGACTCCATTATAAGTGTTACAAGACCTGAATACTGGACTCTGAAATGGTGTCCAGTCACTCGAATAAAAGCCAGAAGTTCAGTTTTATACAAGTCTGTTGAATAATGGAGATCTTTGGGGAAAATGATGGTTGGGCTGCAGGTAGCAAGAGTGACCACTGAGACAAACTAACCCTAACTGACCATGGTACATCACCATGCTCCACAGGAGCATGTACCAAACCAGAGGAAGAGAGTTAGTTAAAGCTCATCACCTCTAACGTTACATCTCCTATGTTTTCATTTGTTTTTCTACCAAGTTATAAACAAGTAGTCCACATTTCTCCAGAGATGCCATATTAGTTTACTACTGTGACCATGGAAATGGATTTAACTAGCCTATACTGCCATATGTTATCAGGCACCAGTATGTACACCTGCTAAGGCTGATCACCTCCACTGGTGCTATTAACATATGATGAGTTTGTCCACCTGGGTTTGGCAGGGCCGGGTGCTGTCATTTCCATCCGAATACTTGCACTGATCATGCTTGAGATCTTACAGCTCCACTTCTAGGTGCTCTGACCTACAATGGGCTGTTCTGCTTGGTTGGTCTCTACTCATCTTACCTTCCGAGTTTTGGCGAGAGGCAGCTCCTCGGATCCTGAAGGCCTGTCGGGTTCTGGTCCGTTCTCCAAAGCTCCAGCTCTTTGGAACCTTACTGGGACTCTCCTCCAGATTGGGCTCCATGCTAGGCGACCGTCGGAGGGCCTGGGCTACCCCGAGGCCTCCAGGGACTCCAGGAACCCCTGGGCCAACACCAGGGCCAACTGCAGGAACCACGAAAGGCAGAAAGCAGTGAAGAAAAAACAAGGTCATGGGTGGGTTACCACCAGAATCAGAACACTGTTTCTGTTAGGTCCAAACTTGTTGTTCTGGTTCATGTCAATCCAGTTTGGAGGTTTTCATTCAAACCAGTTCCTACAGCATCTCCTTGCACTAACATGCTCATCTATCTGGCTGAAAGTTTGTTAGACAGGGAGATAATCTGGTTCTTGCTGGTTGGTGGCAACATGAACTTGTGGACTGTTAGACCAAACCAAATAACGCCTTGTTACTGATCTGACTTCATTCAGTTTAAAAGATCCAAAGTGTTACTGACATGATGCAGAAACAAGGATGCTTCAGTTCTCAACAGAGAATAGGAGGATCAAACCTGAGACCTTATCTGATCCACCTTTCATGTGCATATCACAGGAGACTTGGGTTCCTATACTCACCATGCTGAGGAGAACTTTTCCCTTTGGTTCCTGAACTCCGGGGAGATGAGAAGACCCTCTCCTTCAGACTAACCTTCTGACTGCAGAGAGACAGGCAGAGACAATGAGAGTCAGGTGAAGGTGAGTCAAACAGGTGGACTGGTGCAGAGTCAGCAGTAATATGGACTTTGTAGCAGACTGTGGTGGTTCAAATCAAATCAATTTTATTTGTATAGCGCCAAATCACAACAAAAGTCATCTCAGGACACTTTACAAAGTAAGGTCTAGACCTTGCTGCTATCACTATTACTACATAGGGAAAACCCAACAAATCCCAGAGGGAGCTGACCCTGAAAGTGAATCTCTGGATTCACAGGTGGATCACTGTTCCAGTCCTCAGCTGTGGTTCTGGTTTTAAACCTAACCCTGTGGTCCTGGTCCCTGGGATGTGACAAACAATGAGGTGGAGCATCCAAACTGAGTTTGAGGGCAAGGAGCTCAAAGATCCTCCAAAAATGAGTCCATCTACAGAGACCTGAAATGATTCTGTGTTCGGGTGCTCCTTGTTAGTTCAACACCATAGTTAGTGTTAAATCCCAGCACTAAACTTTCAGTTTACAGGCAGATGTTTCATTTTCCACATTCTGCTGGGATGAGAATCAGCACCTCCAAATCCGAGGCCATGGTTCTCAGTCGGAAAAGGGTGGCTTGTTCCCTTCAGGTAGGTGGGGAGGTTCCTGCCTCAAGTGGAGGAGTTCAAGTATCTTGGGGTCTTTTCACGAGTGAGGGAAGGATGGAACGGGAGATTGACAGGCGGATCGGTGCAGCTTCTGCAGTAATGCGGTCAATGTACCAGTCCGTCGTGGTGAAGAAGGAGCTGAGCTGTAAGGCGAAGCTCTCGATTTACTGGTCAATCTACGTTCAGACTCTCACCTATGGTCATGAACTTTGGGTCATGACCGAAAGGGCAAGATCCCGGATACAGGCGGCCGAAATGAGCTTAGAATCTTAAAACCCCAATGTTCTCAAGCAGGTTTTAAATCTTTCCAACTCCTGCCCGGTACATGTAGATAGGCAGCTGTTTTGAAACCTGTTCTTGGCCTATATTTTACATTTTGGAACAATAAATATTCCAAATTAGCTATTAACAGTTCACTTTTGCTATGTGCTATTGGATGTACTGACAACCATCACTGAATTATTTTGATACTAAAGAATTCATTAAAGCTCCGTGAGGTTCTACCCCCACATTATCTCATAATTACAAGAAAAGATCCTTCACTTTTTTTTTTTTCCTTTGGTGAATGCAATGTGCTTCAGTAATCAACATAATAAGCACTGAATGGGGGAAAAAAAAGGACTGGACTCACCACTAGCTTCTCCACCCACTATCTCAGAAATGACATGTTCCTGATAAGTTACATACAAGTCCCACTGTGAGATAACTCAGCTGGTCTTTGTTGAGTCCTGCTGTTTACTGAGCAGGGCCTCCAGCAAACGGAGCTTCACTTTGAGGTTCTTATACTGGCAGTACTCCGCTGCCATAGGCCCACGGTCCTCCTTCTGACAAGCCCTGTTAAGAATACACAGGTAAATGCTCTGCAGAGAGGGCAGCAGAACCCTGGTGATCTTCTCTACAGTCTTTACCACTCTCTGCAGGCGCTTGCGGTACATAGCACCATACCAGACAGTGATGCAGCTGGTCAAGATGCTCTCAATGATGCAGCTGTAGAAGTTGTTGAGGATCCTAGGCGACATGCCAAACCTCCTGAGGAAGTACAGCTGCTGTTGTGCCTTCTTGACCAGCTGTGTGGTGTTACGTGTTCAAGTGAGGTCCTCACTGATGTGGACGCCCAGGTATTTGAAGCTGCTCACCCTCTCCACTTCGAGCCCCCAGATGAACAGTGGCCGATGAGATCTCCTCTCCTTCCTCATGTCCACTATCATCTGCTTCGTCTATTCTGTCTGAGAATGCAGACTGTAGAGGATCCAACCCCAAAATCAGAATACAGCTTCAGGTTCTGAGCTGGCAGTCCAGGTCAGGGGTTAAGGGTCAAAGGTCAAAGTAAAAGTCAAAAATGAAAAAACCATAGAAGTTTGGAAAATCAGAGCAAAGAACATACACTACCAAGAAGTGACAGCTAATAGAACATTTCATTGCAACACCAGTTCCCAGCAGCAGAGCTACGCATCCACCATTTTGGACTGAGAGCAACTATCATATCTGTAAAACCTAAAAGCATTTTCAATTCGAGTATGATATTTATTCGGTTTATTCACATTCGACAGTGTCTGGAACTTGCTAGGGTGAAACTGAGCGCTGGTCCTGCAGCTCTGATGGGGCCGCTGAGAGCGTGTCACTATTGGTGGTGCATTTCTGAGATTCTGCACCCACCTGTAAAAAGCAGTAGACTATTAAGTTGGATGCATTTATCTATTCATTCAACTTACAGACTACGTCACCATGTCAATAATAAACAAGAACTGCTGAAAGGAAAAACAAAAAATTCAAAATTCTAAAACAAATGGTAAATGGACTGTATTTATATAGCGCATTTTTCCCCAGTGTGTCGCACTGGCCAAAGCGCTTTACAGGAGCGCTTTACCATTCACCCATTCACATACAACATTCACACCGATGATGACAGGCTGCCACACAACGGCGATAGTCAAGCCACCGGGAGCAATTCAGGGTTCAGTGTCTTGCTCAGGGACACATGCGGGGAGACCGGGAGTCGAACCACCAACTTGCAGGTCAGGAGACAACTGCCCTACCTTGTGAGCCACAGCCACCCAAAACAAAAGGCGGGCTCTGTAGTCTCAAGCTTTTTTATGATTAATTTTGAACCAAGTAATCGTTTATTATTCTAATAGGCATTGCAAGTTTAAACTTTAAACAAGGTCGGTGTAAAAACGAGTGGCCTAGTATATGGGATATATGGTCCTTGACAAAGACAAGTTTTAAGTAGGTTTAAAGGGTTTGTACTTTTCCATTGCCGTTTTCAGTCCAAAATGGTGGCTGCGCTATCACAGCGCCATCTAATGGTTGTTGTCAAAAAAGCACCAGAGTGTCGCCTTTTGGCTTCTACACTCTTCGGTCAGAGTAAAGAATTAGGAATTGAAGCGCCGTAAGTGGACACTGACCTGGGAGAAGGTTCAGGCTGCACATCCTTCCTGCAGACAGAAAACTGTTAGTAATTATTGGTTCTGTCAAGAAACTTCTTCCAATTCTGACGTTATTTGTGATGGTTATTTGAGATGGTCTTCGGCTGACTGCAACAAGGAATACTGCAGTAGTGTTGTACCGTAATTGTTGTAGTAGTGGCATTAAACATTTCAGACCTGAATGACAGTCCTGATTTGTTCTTGAGGTTCCTCAATAAATCCAGCTGATTGAGAGGAGGAATCAGCCTGGAGAACACAGACATATTTATAGATGACATAACAATCATCTTTATATGATCAACTACAGGTGTACAGGTGGAGTCTCACCTGTACATTGGGACAGAGACAGTCCTCTCGTAATAATCCCAGGTTGAGCTCAGATCAGTCCGGCTCAGGTTTGTGGCGTAAACCCTCCATGCTGCCTGCAGACTCACAAGACAATTGTTTCAAGAGAAACAGCTACAAGTCACATGCTGACAGATTTTCAAAGGACAAATTCTGCTCTGGAACATTAAACAGAGTTCAAAGTGATCCCATCGTTCTGTTTCAGGCCGATTTAAACTTGTTGTCATCTCACATCTGACACTACGAACTGGTTAAATATGGAAACAACAACTCACATTTTCAGACAGTCTCACATGAAGTACATTCATACCATCAGATGTCCAACCACCGTGCAGAGTGGGAATGATGTCAGAGTGTTGGTTCACCTGTATGAGTCCTGCTGCCGGGTTTCGTCTCTTCTCAAAGTGTTTCTGTCGGTGCTGCTCCTGAACCTTCAGAGCAAAACCAGAACCCAGGATCCCCTGAAGAGACACACATGAACAGGTAACAAGACACCAGGTGAGCTGGATGAACCAAGCAGAGGCTCACCTGTGTCAAGTCATCATTTGAGTGACTCACAGCAGGCAGTGCGAAGAATGAAACTCCGATCAGAGTGAAGGCTGCAGCCAGCAGACGTCCATTCCAGGTGATTGGGTATTTGTCTCCATAACCAATGGTTGTCAAGGTAATCTGACACAAACAGAAAGAGACCAATCAGATCATCCCCTCCCTGAGCAGGAGACGTGCTCCTCCTGTGTACAGACAATGACATGTTCACACTCACAAGGGCAGTCCCGTCGAGACCAAATCTGAAGTCCAAACTCCAGATGACAGGAGGACAAAGTACAATCAGTTTATAACTAGAACAGCATTTTGACTTCAACTGACCTGCGCACACCTGTGCACACCTGGACAGCAATTAAAAATGGACTATTTCATTGTACCTCATGAACTCTGGGTAATGCTTGTCAATTTTATGGTTTCACTCCAAATGAGTTTGTTGAAAGGCTGGGGTCTAATGGTATTTCTTTATCAGGACTAAAATATAAATTACTTGGCCATTCTTTGTTGTTGGTTTGAGTTACTTTAAAGATCAATCTCAGTTTCGTAGACTTCCTGAATCGTTTTCGTCCTCTAGCTTGTCAGGAAACCCTAAGTAGATACTATGGTTTGACAATACAGTATATTTGTAACCCGAGTTCTATGGCAACAACACGATTAACTTCATCAAAGTCCAGGTAGCTTACATTTTATTTAGCTCTTTTAGGATACGTACAGTATTGTTCAAAATAATAGCAGTACAATGTGACTAACCAGAATAATCCAGGTTTTTAGTATATTTTTTATTGCTACATGGCAAACAAGTTACCAGTAGGTGCAGTAGATTCTCAGAAAGCAAACAAGACCCAGCATTCATGATATGCACGCTCTTAAGGCTGTGCAATTGGGCAATTAGTTGAAAGGGGTGTGTTAAAAAAATAGCAGTGTGGCATTCAATCAGTGAGGTCATCAATTTTGTGAAATAACAGGTGTGAATCAGGTGGCCCCTATTTAAGGATGAAGCCAGCACTTGTTGAACATGCATTTGAACGCCTGAGGAAAATGGGTCGTTCAAGACATTGTTCAGAAGAACAGCGTACTTTGATTAAAAAGTTGATTGGAGAGGGGAAAACCTATAAAGAGGTGCAAAAAATTATAGGCTGTTCAGCTAAAATGATCTCCAATGCCTTAAAATGGAGAGCAAAACCAGAGAGACGTGGAAGAAAACGGAAGACAACCATCAAAATGGATCGAAGAATAACCAGAATGGCAAAGGCCCAGCCAATGATCAGCTCCAGGATGATCAAAGACAGTCTGGAGTTACCTGTAAGTACTGTGACAGTTAGAAGACGTCTGTGTGAAGCTAATCTATTTTCAAGAATCCCCCGCAAAGTCCCTCTGTTAAAAAAAAGGCACGTGCAGAAGAGGTTACAATTTGCCAAAGAACACATCAACTGGCCTAAAGAGAAATGGAGGAACATTTTGTGGACTGATGAGAGTAAAATTGTTCTTTTTGGGTCCAAGGGCCACAGACAGTTTGTGAGACGCCCCCCAAACTCTGAATTCAAGCCACAGTACACAGTGAAGACAGTGAAGCATGGTGGTGCAAGCATCATGATATGGGCATGTTTCTCCTACTATGGTGTTGGGCCTATTTATCGCATACCAGGGATCATGGATCAGTTTGCATATGTCAAAATACTTGGAGGTCATGTTGCCTTATGCTGAAGAGGACATGCCCTTGAAATGGTTGTTTCAACAAGACAATGACCCCAAACACACTAGTAAATGAGCAAAGTCTTGGTTCCAAACCAACAAAATTAATGTTATGGAGTGGCCAGCCCAATCCCCGGACCTTAATCCAATCGAGAACTTGTGGGGTGATATCAAAAATGCTGTTTCTGAAGCAAAACCAAGACATGTAAATGAATTGTGGAATGTTGTTAAAGAATCATGGAGTGTAATAACAGCTGAAAGGTGCCACAAGTTGGTTGACTCCATGCCACACAGATGTGAAGCAGTTATAACAAACTGTGGTCATACAACTAAATATTAGTTTAGTGATTCACAGGATTGCTAAATCCTAGAAACAAAAACGTTTGTACAACATAGTTTTGTGTTTGTACAGTCAACGGCAGACACTGCTATTTTTTTGAACACACCCCTTTCAACTAATTGCCCAATTGCACAGCCTTAAGAGCGTGCATATCATGAATGCTGGGTCTTGTTTGCTTTCTGAGAATCTACTGCACCTACTGGTAACTTGTTTGCCATGTAGCAATAAAAAATATACTAAAAACCTGGATTATTCTGGTTAGTCACATTGTACTGCTATTATTTTGAACAATACTGTACCTGCTTGGCCATGTCTGCATTCTTCTTGGTGAGGTGTTCATTAAGACACATATCTGTTCCCTTTAATTTTTTCACTTGTTTCAGTAGGTCATTCTTGCGTCATCTGATTGCAAACTTATTTATGATGGCTAGCTGCATCTTCCTGTTTTTACTTGCAGTGTACGACAAGTAGCTATGCTCTCCCTTCAAATGTTTATGTCCTTGCTGTGAAAGCACTGGACTACCTGCTGTTTCAGCATGTGCAGTTCCTCTTCCAAGGAATCTCCAGTCACGGCCCTCACGCAAGATCAGTGCCTGGGGCCTATTGCACAAAACTAGGATAAGGGATTAAGCCGGGATATCTTGGTGATCCTGGCTCAACTTATCCGTGATCTGGTTGCACGAAAGCTGGATTAGATGGCGGCAGGATGTTATGGTATAAATTACCATGGAGATTTATTCTGTGGAGCTAGCCTGCTCCAGACCAGGCTAAGTTCCAGGATTTATTTAATCTCATCCCTCATGTCAGTCAGCAGTCACCACAAACGGAAACCAATAGTTATTTCACTGCACACTATACATTGTTATCACATATAATTAGACCCACTGTCATTGTTTAAACGTTTGTGATCATTAATTTCAATCATTTTGGATAAATGATGACTTTTAGATGATGTTGCTATCATTAGATAATTTAAGTTTCCCATAGACTATAAGGCTATATATAAAAGGATAGAATATTAGGGCCACAGAGGGAGAAAAAAG